TGCTGCTTGCAGGTTCCTGTGAACAGACTGAAAGAAATTTTGATGAATGTGGCATTCTGTCAAATTGAACCACAGATCACCATTAAGTATATCATTATGTTATCTTTGAAAAATGTAGAAGATTTTAACTGACATTTAATAGCTTTGTGAGCCAGCACAACAAGCATTTTTTTTTAAAAAAAGAGTGCAACAAACTACATCAGATATTTATCATGAGTAAGTACTATATTTGACTAGCAGATTATTCAATTTAATAAAATGGACTTTTACAGTTTTCGGATTTTTTTAGAATCAGTTCAGTTGTTCTGTTTCTTGGATGTGGTTTAAAGATGTACCTGATAAAAATATAATAAATTGACAAGTTTATTTTAATGGGTCTGAAAAATTGTCACTTGTGTTGCTTGCAGTGCTCAGATTTTTCAGTTTTTTATTTGTCGGCCCTATTATTGGTGGTGATGGTCGTGGTGGAATAAAGTTGAAAATGTTTTTCTTATATACAGATGTTTTAATGTCATATAAGATAAAATATTTCATTCAGTTTGAAGTCATTTTCCCACAAATTCTTGAAGAAATTTCACGAGATACTATCATCAAACATTAGCCTTTGTATAAAAAGACTTAATACATTTCATGAAATTTCATAAAATTAGTTATGCCGTATCAGATTTTTAAAACTTTTTTTATTGGATATGCAGTGGATATGGAAGTATTTGCAAGACCATATACATCTCCAATCCATAAGAAGAAACTTGCTACCTCAATAACTTAGGGGTTTTCCCCAAGTGGATAAGCATTTCTGCTTCTCTACCTTCTGGGTTCTTTGAAATCTAGACGTAGTTGGGAGAGTGAAATTCTGTAAATAATCTGTACACAGGCACTTTGATCTGTCATCTTGACAACTCCATTTCATTGAACATTAGTCCTCTGTTCTATATTTCTGGAGATCGTGCCCACTTAAATTTAATCCTGCTAATGCCAACTTTGCAATTTGGAAAATTTGTGGCCAAAGTTCACTGGCGTCATTAAACATAAATGGGGTAACATTAGCTGAAGAAGCCGTGTCAGACCACAACACTAGCATTGCAGCCAGAGGTTGTTCTCCTATAATGTGATAGTTGTGTTCTCGTGTGACCTCGCGCTATAGAAAATCGCGTTATAGGGAAATCGCTATACCTGTACAGCAGAAAGTTTGCGTTATCCAAACAGTGTCCACTATTCATCAATCATGTTGCAGCCAATTTGCGTTAATGAAACACGCATTATAGCAGAAGTACCTGTACTGACATTTGGCATGGAGTCCTCAGATGGATGGCCAGAGACTATCACTTTCATTTGGGTGGACATTTGTGATGTGCAAATCAAGATTAATTTACAGATTTAAGATACACGTGGAGGAATCAGAAATGATACATGTTCTGCCCCTGCCAACTGAAAATGAGCTGCCTAAGTAACCATTCCAAAAGTGGCTCGGTGTGGCACTTTCAGTGGAGTAGTCAGCAGGTATGGGTTGGGTGTTTAGGGTGTTGACTAAAAGCTGGTCGGGCTCTGGTAGAGGATGACCAATAAAATGCAGGAGCTTACAGCAAAATGGCAAATAAGGATGACTTTGTGCTCAGAAGGTGCCCGACATTTGGGAATTATTCACAATGAGTCACAAATAATTATGTCAACTGTGAGTCTGTTGGTAGTACTTTTGCTTCTGAGTTAGAAGTTCTGGTTTCAAGTCCCACTGTAAGGCTTAAGAGTAAAAATCAAAACTGAAATGCCAGTTCAGTATGGAGCGAATGCTACAGTGTCACAGGTGCTGCCTTACGTATGATACAGTAAACTGTAGCCACTCATTTGCCCTTAAATAAAGATCACAAGGCAGTATTTTGAAGGAAAACAAAACAGTTATCCCCAGTATCTTGGCCAGTATTTATCCCTTAATCAATATCACACAAAGAGCGTACTGGCACTTTCACATTCCTGTTTGTAGAAACTCACTGTGTGCAAGCTAGTTTTTGTGTTTCCTGCGTTACAATGATAACTACACTTCAGAAATACTTCACTGGCAGTAAAGTGCTTTCAGATATCCAGTGTTGTGAAAGGCACTATGTCAATGCAAATTTTTGTTCACTATTTTGTAGACCTTCATCATTTATGTTCACATGTCTCTTACTGTTTCTCTCTCCCCTTCTATTTCCCTTTTCTCCTTGTGTGTCTCTTCTCTTTTTGGCACGTTTTATTTTTATCTCCTTTTACCCCCTATTTTTCTCATTTTTGGTTTCCTTCCCTCTTCTGCTCCATTTGTCACTCATTTCTGGCATCTTTAATTCACTGAGAAGATACAAAATTTGCCATTTCCCTCCTGTTTCTTTTCTCTCTTCCAGCTTGCTGTGCTCCACTCTTCTGTTGATATTTTGTTATTCTTTCAGGCTGATAGGATTTAGCTGGCTCCCCTGACGGTTTTTAGAAGAGCAAGAGAGTATTTTGTAAAGGTGGTTGGTCAGTGGTTGAGGGGAGGGTGGCTAATGTATCCAAGTTCAAAAACTAATATTGATAATGAGGGGAGAAACAGGTTCTCCTCCAGGAGGGGTCCCTCCAATCTGTTTGCTGAGCATAGCTATAAGTTCATATGCAGCATGTTATTTTGAAAAGATTGCAGAATAACTTGAAAAGAAATATGGAAAAGTTAAGTGACTGTGAGCAATCTTGATAAGATTCTGGAAAGCTACAGCAGACAAAGAAGAGATAACACAGTGTGGAGCTGGAGGAACACAGCAGACCAGGCAGCATCAGAGGAGCAGGAAAGCTGACATTTTGAGTTGCGACCCTTCTTCAGAAATGGGGGAGGGGTAAGGTTGCTGAGAAATAAATAGAGAGAGGAGGGGTGGGGCTGGGGAAGGGTAGGTGGGATGGTGATAGATAGACACAAGTAGGGAGTAGTGGAGATTGGTCAGTGGGTCGAGCGGACAAGTGGCAAAAATGATGTCAGGTCAAGGAAATGGGGATGAGAGGGAGGGTTAGACATGGGATGAGGCCGGAAGTGAGGAGATTTTAAAACTGGTGAATTCCATGTAAAGATCATCAGGCTGTAGGCTCCCAAGTCGGAATATGAGGTGCTGCTCCTCCAGTTTGTGGGTGGTGATGTTGTGACACTGGAGGAGGCCCAGGATGGACGTGTCACCCAGGGAGTGGGAGTGGGAGTAGGAGAGTGAGTTGAAATGGTTGGTGACTGGATGGTGTTGTCATTTGCTCTACAAAACAGTCTCCAAGTCTATACTTGGTCTCACCGATGTAGAGGAGGCGACATCGGGAGCAGCGGATACAGTAGGCAATGAACCCCATTTCAGTGGAAGTGTTAGGCAGGTGGTGTCACAGAGAATGACACCAAAATGCAGCCTGCCTTGAATGGGCAATTAATAAGTTTGGAGGGCCCAAAGGTGAGAATTTACAGATAGATATCAATTCAGTGTGAGGACAGGAATGGCAGCCAGGATCCCTAAAGTAGAGGTCGTGACCCCAAGTCGGGTCACGAACAGCAATGACTGCTTTAAGCTCCACCCACTTTATCCCAGTTCTCTTAGGTCTCTCTTCTCTGTCACTTCCTGCCACAACCCTTCTGCCCTCTCTGTCATTTCTTCTCACAGCCCTTGTCTCCTCCATCACCTCCTCGCACAATCCTTCACCCCCCCTCACTTCCTCTCGCAATCCTTTTCTTCTCTGTCACCTCTTATCTCAATCCTTCTCTCCTCCATCATCTCTTCTCACAATCCTTCTCTCCTCCATCACCTCTTCTCACAATCCTTCTCCCCTCCGCAACCTCCACTGACAATCCTTTTCTGCTCTGTCACCTCCTCTCACAATCCTTCTCCCCTCCCTCACCTCCTCTCACAATCCTTTTCTCCTCTGTCACCTCTTCTCACAATCCTTCTCTCCTCCCTCACCTCCTCTCACAGGTTTTCTCCCACTACCACTAGCCCAGCTCCTACTCTCTCAGTTCTTCCTGAGAGGTCACAACAATTTTCTAACCTTAAAATTAAGCCACAGTGGGAAAACGTTTGGGAAGGAATACACTGGGGAAACTGTGCCCTTTGAAAGTCGTCGTTAGTCCCTGGAAGTAAAGGAAGATTGATAATGCTACAGAAATTATTTTCAAGAAGTATTATGCAAATAGATTGATATTAGAACTATTTACCACTATTTACTCTCTCCAACACTGTTGTAGTTGCAGAGTTCCTCTTAGATGCTAAAGAAAGAAGCATGACAAACATTTTCCAAAGCAATAGAACATAGAACTGTACAGCACAGTACAGGCCCTTCGGCCCACGATGTTGTGCCAAACTTTCACCCTAAACCTAAGGTCTATCTAACCTCCACCCATACCTTATACTATCATCCATATGCCTATCTAATAGCCGCTTAAATGCCCCTAATGAGGCCAACTCCTCTACCCTCTCCAGCAATGCATTCCATGCCCCAACCACTCTCTGAGTAAAGAACCTACCTCTGACATCTCCCCTATATCTACTTTCACTCACTTTAAAACTATGCCCCCTCGTAATAGTTACCTCCACCCTAGGAAAAAGTCTCTGGCTATCCACTCTATCTATACCTCTGATCATGCTATAACAACTTGCTTATTTGAAGATGTGTGTGTGTCATGGCAATGTTTCTGTCCCACTGAACGGGAACAAAAACTGAAAATCAAAGGTTAAATGTTTGGCCAACATTACCTAATTGAATAATGAATATTGTAGTGAAATGTATCTGGTGATTAGTATTGGTTAAGCAAGTATCTCTCACGTGTTTGTGATTCTCCAACTGGATAGTTACGATGTTGTTAATGCTTACAACTTTGATGTAAAAACATGATCCTGTGCCTCTGTGCACTGTCTCTGGTGACAATACAATACTCGCTCAATTAGTAAGTTATGAACCATTCCTCTTTTGAATTTGACATCAGCTTTCAAGGTTACCAGGCTACTAGTTGGGCCAGTTGAGGCATTTCAGGCAGCTTGTAATTATCTGCAAAGGTTATTAATGTACCTGACAAACCTCACTTCATTTCAAAGGAATGGGGAAACAAGGGCACTATTTCCACAATTTGATACAGTGCCAGAGGCTTTACTCATTGGCGTTTTCTCTCACTGGTTCCACAGGTTCTGAAAGCAGTATTCCTTTTTCCAACAATTGAACGCATGGCCGAGTCACCACAAGGCAAACTTTTGACACCAATACTTTGCAAACTTCGCTTCCTGATGTATGTTCCAATCTACTTCCTTTCTTTTCTGCCAGAAAGCGTCAAGGCCTTGTTGGTGAGGTGGGCACTGCAGGGTCTACAGTCCCTGGATGAAATTAGTGTCTCTGCCTCTCTTAACCTCTTCAATGTGGATTGCGCAGGTGAGCTAACCTCGTTATTGACTTTACTATAGAAAATCCGTCACTTTAATGATGTACATTTTCTGAAGGAAAGAGCAAAATGATCATCTGCCCTCAAAAGCATTTTTTTCTATCTGTGTTGCATATGCCATATATTGCAACATGATACACAGATTTTTAAAGCAAAGGTAATTTACTGCATGTGTACAGTTTTGCCATGGATGTAAAATTTGATCTTGTTTATATGTTTCTTAGCTGCTGTTACTTTTTGGACAATTTGTCAAGGAGCTGCAGAAATCATTAATAAATAACTGCTGTAAAGCCCTTTCCTGTCTTGACAAGCCAAAGGCATCCCTTTGAATGGACTGGCCAACTTCAGATTTTTTTTTTAAAATTCTAAATTGCCATAACTTTAAGAGTAAAACGACACAGCTCGAGCTTGTAAACACTTAATATTACCAAGTGATGAGTGAGTGTATTGTAATGCTGAGAAAGTCCATGTGAACTTCTGGACTTTTTTAGACTCAGCTATAAAATGTATAATGAAGCAAATTAGGTGGCTTTATATGTATAATGGCACCAATCTGATTTGAGCTGGAAATAAACCTACAGAACTGGTCATAGTAGATGGCCCTGTTTTCACCCATAATTAATGACTGAAGCAGAATCTTGAAAACCCATAGTATTTTGCAGAATAATGCATTGACTACCTTAGACGCCTCGTATTAATTTGAGCTGGAAATGTTCATCCTGTTATCTGATACATATGCTCCGTATCAGTCCCAAAATCTGATCCTGGACCCAATTATTTCTCTTGAGAAAGGGGTCATCTGTAATAAATCACCATATAATTAAAGTAAGACTGATGTATGCTTATACTCCAGGGCATTAAGCTTGACAATATGATGGAATTGGATTAACATTAGAAGAGATAGAGCAATAAACCCAGGATGCTTATTCCACAAAGGAATGTACAGGATTGGAAGAGACCCTGAGCTCCATCTGGCCTGTCCCAAACGCCATGTGTATCAATTGGACAATATTGTACAATCAAGCTTAGTAACTCAAAACCACTTCAACAGTTGTTGCCATTTCTTTCACAGAAATGTTTCACCAGAAAAAAAATAACAAAATACTGGGGGGAAGAAAAATAATGCTGCTAACGCTGGTAACCATTTCACAAGGGGTGCTGATGCTAACACATGTTCATCAAGGCCATAGCTAGCTTCTCTGTTGGTTTTGTAGGGTAAATGTGTGTGGTGTATGTAAATATATGTAGCATGTGGTGTAGCCTTTCTACTTTGTCATACCTAGATCATGCCTCCAGCAGGTCTATGCTTCACCAGCTCCAGAACTTCCTCACTGACCTTACCGTATTTCTGGCTCTGGCAGGAGTTATACATGGCCTGTGGCCTTCCTGATCTCCAGCGTGGACTGTATGGGATGGAGGTTGACCGAAGCCCCCCCTTAGATTTATCCTCAACCCCCTCATGCTTGATACCTGAATGCTGGACACTGGCTCCTGGCTCTCTCAAGCATTCAAATCATATAAATGACAGGAAACAGGCAATCGATAGAAGCAACAGAGGTTGGGATGAGTTTTTGGAGAATGGAGATGGCATTGCAGTAGTCTGGTCTAGAGGTATCAAATGCATGTTATCAGCAAAGGATGAGCTAAGGATCTGTTTAGATTGCAAACAGAGCTGAAACTCCAATTCTACTCCGTTGATGGGAGATTTTTCTTTTTCCAACGCCAGTCATCCTAGGCAGGGGTGGTGGTGTAGTGATATTGTCACTGTACTAGTAAATCTCACCCATAGCAGCTGGTGGACTTAAAATTTAATTACTAATCTGGAATTTATAAAGAGATCTAACATCAGTTATATTGAAGGTGAATCTACTAACAATTGTTGTACAAACCCCATCCTCATTCACTGATATCCTTCAGGGAAGGAAATCTTTGCCCTTACCAAGTCTAACCTACATGTTTTCCAGACCCACAATAATGTGGTTGATTCTTAACTTACCTTCTGAATTCGCCGAGTAAGTTACTCAATTCAAAGGCACTTAAAGATGTGCAACAAATACTGGCCTTGCCAGTGAAGCCCACTTCTCATGAAAGAATAAATTTTTAAAATCCTGTCTCCACGTGATGGCCAATTGCTGCTGTTATATGGGCAACTTTGTCTCGGCTGTTTTTGTGCCCAAATTTGAGAGCTTGAAGCAGCAAACTGCTTAAGTTTTAATGTCAACTTTCAAAAAATATGTATTTTTGTAATTTTGGAATATTAGCTGGAGTAAAGCTAATGTGTACTACATGATATCACATAATGTGCATTCAGCATGTCAATTTGATGTGTGTAGGCACAGAGATAAGCAAGCTTTCTGCTTTTGTTTGTTAGTTTACTTCTCATTTTCAGTCCTCTGCCACTACCTAGCAGAAATGTGAAAAGGAAAGCCACATGTGTAAAAGGTCTAATGAAAAGACAGCTTGGAACATTATTTTTAACAAGGCATTTCTTGGAAAGCACATGATCCCATATACTTGCAGGTCTTGTTTGCTTGAACTCACTTCAGGAGAAAGCCCTAACTGTTTCTACCACCAGGAGACGGCTAGTTCTCTTTGTAAACTGTTTGGATTTCTCGCTGAGAAAAGGAGCTTCTTTGATCCAAGCCAAAGCCAGGTGTAGTGGTTTGCATACTATTAGACTCAACCGGATAGATCAAGAAGAGCACCCTTACATCTGAGTAGTTGAAGGTCTCCATAAATATTGTCCAGGTTTGCCCCCTAGTGAATACACTCCAGTTTTGCTGCAGAGCATAAGGACACAGCAGTTACGATTGATAAGCCTAACTTGAGGTATAAAAACCGAATGCTACACCATGTCTCTAACTGTGGAAGGAATGATTGTGTCCTGTTAGACAGCTCACGCCTAGCAAATCTGCTTGGAAATGTGCTGCCCTGGCATAATCCATCTGCTTTGGTGGTGCTGGGGATTTGGAATCTCTGCTGAACAAGTTGATGGAATGCATCATCCTTGGCAAACCCACAAGACATGCCAAAAACAAATGCCAACTTTGATTGGCATGCAGGAATGTTGTAACCCTATACACAGGCCTGACAAACATAACTTCCCTACCAGAGACATAACTCACTGAGAGCGAATCACTCACAGAAAAACTTTATATCTGATAGGGGAAGAGTTCAAGGGGAAATATGTGAAGAAGATGTAGACTTCGTTGTAAAAAAAAGTCACGACTCCCAGTGATAGAACTCTCTCACATGGTTCAGAATATGTTCTCTCTATCAATCTCTCAATTCAGAGTTCATCAGGAGTGTCTATGCTCCACTGCTGTGCTCCAGTACAGAGGTGAAAGACCAGTTCTACAAAGAACTTGACACTGCTATAAGCACAATCCAGGACAAAAAATTGTTACCTACCAAGGTTTTTTAGTGCAACAGTGCCTGAAGACCTCAGGCGCCAAGGCATGGGGCCTTGGTGAGAATGGACAGAGACTATTTTGAAATTTGCTGATACCATGAACTTAACATAACTAACAACCTCTTTTGAAACAAGCTACTAGATATCCTGGAAACATCAAAGATCAGGACATTGACACCAGCTGGATCTGGTCATCACCAAATGTGACTGTCTGGACATCGTTAACAAAATGTGCAGCTACAACAACACTGACTGTTATTCAGACCACTTTCCAGCATGCACAACATAGAATGCAACCTTTGAAATGTTTTCATTTGCAGCAGAAATCTCATCCTCATCTCAACATTAATCATATTGTTTACCAAGTTGAAAACCAGAAGTTGCTCAACTTTATTGAATGGGGGCTCTCAAGCTTCCCCACACACAGTGCAGAGTAGAACACACTTCAGGCACCATGTACAATACCGCACTTTCATCATGTGGGAAGCAGGAATGGAAAAATGTTGACCCATTTGAAGCCAACAGCACTGTGATAGAGCCTGTCAGTCGAGCCAAGCAGCCCTCTCTCAGTGGTTTCAAAATCCGAATAAGGATACACAGAGTGCAGTAACAGCTACACAAAGTAAAGTTCAATCCTTTGATGGGACACTGACAGTTCTGACAAAATACTCAAGAAATGCTAGAGACATGTCCAGAGGGATCAGAAAGGCAACAGGCCCATCAGCAAAAATAACAGCATTACTGAAAATAAAGGCCATGGGCACAGAGGTCATTACTGGTATAAACATTTGGAGAAATGTGATAGAACAACTTTTGATTGGACTCTAGAGAGAGTCTATCTCTAGACAATAGAGGAAGTCTATCTGTTGTGATAAAACTGGGTATCAAACCTCAGGTGGAGGGACTTAGCAAAGCCATTGACTCAGTTTCCACGGGCAAAGTTCTAAATGCTGAAGTTATACCACCTAAACTCCTTGGGCATGGGAAATGGGCAGTCCTGCAGCATCTGTATAAACTTCTCTGCCTCTGGTGGAGGGAGGAGACAGTGCCCCAGACTATGAATGATGCAAAGACAATGATCCTTTACAAGGACAAGGGAGATGACAGTGATTGCAACAACTGTTGAGGTGCCTTACTGCTAAGCGTTGTTGAAAAAATATTTGCCTATGTTGCTTGAGGCAGAATATAGATCCTCATTGATTGCATCCCCTCCAAAACCCAGTGGGATTTCAGAGCTATCAGATCGATATGATTTTCTCAGTCTGGCGGCCATAAGAGGAAGGTTGTAAACAAAAGAGACCACTATATATTGCCTTCATCAATCTCAGCAAACCATTCAATCTTAGGAAGGTTATCAAAAATTACAGAAGGATCTTGATCTGATGGGGAAGTAAGCAAATGCAATTCAATACAGATAAGCATGAGATGTTGCACTTTGGAAAGTCAAATCAAGATAGGAATTATACAGTAAATGGTAGGGTCCTGAGGAGTGTTGTGGAACAGAGGGACCTAGGAGTACAATTACATAGTTCATTGAAAGCAGCATCACAAGTAGACTGAGTGGTAAAGAAAGCATTT